TCGACCTAAAACTATCCACACGTGTGGATCCGGTGATCCCCTCCCCCCCCCCCCCCCCCCCCCGCCGACGATCAGGGTCATCGACGGAGGGGAGCCGCCGGAGAACGGCGGTGGAGCGCGAGGCGAAAGCTAGATCGCTTTTCCTTTCTTCGGGAGGAAGATAGGAAAACGATGGATAGATAATTATACTACTGACTAGTGGGCTCCACACTTGACCTGAAGGATTTATACGGGATCTCTTCTGTACACACGTCATCCAGTAAAAATATTGTAAAAATGTTTTACAGTAATCTCTAAAACGATTTTTTTAGGGACTCTAAAACGATTTTAGAGATGCTGTAACCCACGCATTAGCGGAGCTATTAGCGAGCGCACGGGAAGGGAAGCGGCGCCGCTACGTAGCAGCGTCCACACGAATACCTCCTTCTAAAAAAACACCAGCCATATATTCCTGGGTCTTGGGCGGCCGCTCTCCGTCGCGCTAACTCCGCCGCCGCCGCAGTGCTGCCAGTCATCTTCCCTTCGCAGGACTGATTCTGGCGCGCCGGTGTGACGGAGAGGCGAGGCGGCACAGGGCAGGGTGTGGATTGAATCTGGCGCCATCGTCCGTCCCCGATTCGCCCTCACCGCAGGCAGGGCAGGTACACAGATCCCTTTCCTTCCGTGATTGCTACTAGATGCGAATTGATTTGGGTAGGTGTTCACCACCGATCTCGTCTGATCTGGCCGTCGTCTCCGTCACGCCACCAGATTGCTAATCGTTTTCGGAATCCAACTCCTCCCCTCCCTCCAATTCCAATTCAGATTCTAACACTGAGATTTTGCAGGGCGGCAGGACCATCATATAATAAATTCAAGGCTCGATCTTTCTGCCGAAACTCTTCAAGGACGCTTGATTGGTGAACACAGAGGCCGAGCTGCAGCAGGAGGAGGATTAGATAGATTACTCTGTTATTACTATTAGGTCTTCTGTCAAATCGCAGTGGGGATGTCTAATAAGCGCCGGGGATATGCCGGCGACGGCGGTGAAAAGAGGTCGCGGCGGTTCAAGCATCTGTACCTCGTGTTGGATGACTGGACCAAGGGGTACAGCATCCACAAGATCCAAGCCGACAGCTTCGACTCTGACTCTGACTCTGGCTCTGATGACCAGCACAGCGGCGCTGCCCGGCACCTCCCGGAGCCTCCGACCCTGCGGTTAGAGTGCCCGGTTGGCACTGTACCCCATCCCGGCATGTCGTTCTCTGCCTTGGGCACCAAGATCTTCACCTTCATGAACCAGCGATGCAGCCTCATCTACGACACCAAGACGGCCGCAATGACGATTGGCGCCCATGCCCCTGCTGACATGGTCTGTGGCTTCGGCATCACCGTGGTCGTTGATGAGATGCTCCATGCATTATCTTACCACTTCCGCGTGAAACAACACTCCTTTGGGTTCATGTCATGGGGGTCCACCGCGCCGGATGCGCTGCAACAACCAACCGAGGGCTGGTCCTGGAAGACTCTGCCGCCACCACCGCCAACGTTCCACCGTCGAGTCAACTCCTATGCACTACACCCGGATGGATGCACCATCTTTATGTCCACAGCTAACTTCATGACGGCACCTAGCAAAGGTTGCATGGGCACCTACTCATTCAACACCAAGGATTCTGTGTGGAGATGGCATGGGGAGTGGGCCTTGCCATTCAGCGGCCAAGCACACTTTGACAGGGAGCTCAACGCCTGGGTTGGCCTTCATCGGGATGGCTACATCTCTGCTTGCCAAGTTGCCTCCCCCAGCTGCCACAGCACGACTCCAACGTTGCAGCTGGACTGCCAGACAACCAAGGAGAAGTTGTTCTGCAAGGACCGGAAGCCACACATGGGAGTCTCTCTCAGCTATGTGGGCATGAGCAAGTTCTGCCTCGTCCAACGCGTGGAACGGGAGGGACTGGAGGAGGCACTGGCTCGGGGAGACTATGCCGGCTGTGTGCTCCATATCACCTTATTTGGCCTCAAGTTCAATCACAAGGGAGAGCTGCAGATCACAGATCACCGCTCCACGCGCTCCTTCATAGTGTCTAGGCATAAAGATCACTTTATGCCTGTAGCATTTTGGATGTAGAAACCAGTTTGGCTTGTTCCAAAATCCTTGCTTGACTGTCACTGGTTCATGTTGTGCTTTGTCCTCCTAGAAAGTGGAATCAATAAAAAGTTCTGTTTGCTTGGAAGTTGTGCGTTACTTGATCCGTGTGTTCTGTTTTTTATTATGCTAGTTATTGATGTATGTCACTAGATCTGTTGCTGAAACATATATATTTAGGAAGATGGCCATGGTCCTATGGTTGAACAAAACTGAGATTTGGACTCTTGCTTTTTCCAAAGCAAGCTAAATTTAGACATTGGACCTCAGATTTCTAGATTTGAACCAAGTAAGTTCTTTGTTTTCAGTTAAAGAATGATTAGGTGTTTTTTCGTTCAGTCATGTTGAGTGCTTTTTTCTCCGTTTTCTTCTTGGCATATGTCTCTATTACTGTGTTGTTCTTTTCATTCCCAAAGACTGCCTTAGCAGCACAAAGTACACATTTTTTTCAGCCCTCAAGCTGCAGCTCACATGGTTTGTTCTAAGAGAGACAGTCAGCTCATATTGTTCTATTTTTTTAGTATGCTAGTTATTGATGTGCTCCCTCCGTCCTAAAATAAGTGACTCAACTTTGAGTCACTTATTTTGGGACGGAGGGAGTATGTCACTAGATATGTTGCTGAGGAAGATGGCCATGGTCCTATGGTTGAACAAAACTAACATGATAGGCTGTTGGTTGGATAAAAGCGAAAGCGCACTGGAAAATTAAGCCTGACAATTGTCTGGATGCAAAATATAGGTGACTTCATGTTTCGGTTGGAATTGGTAAGGCCAAAATACTGCTAGTAGGTTTAGGTTATTGTTCTTTTTAAAAAAAAAAGGTTTGGGTGGCTTATTGAGCATGGGTTGACAGCAGTGAAATTACCAACAAAAGATAGCACACCAATTGTTTGCTTTGATCATGCAGGATCTGGAAGTTATCAAGAAGCTCATAGAGCACTTATCCATAAAGTGCGCACCACCTGCCCAATTTAATTTGGAGGCCTGATGGAGAAGGTTGCTGAATGGAATGCTACTGTTATTTCGAAGCATGAATGTGGCACTCAGCCTTGTGTCGTAAGTCTTTTAATTCTTGCTCTGTTTTTTTCTGGCTGTTCGTGCGTCCCATAGTTCTGAAAGAAGCGCAGAGATACAATTTTAGTTAGATTTAATCATTTTGCCGCGGGCGGGCATGGTGGCTGGCACGTCGCTACCAGCGGCTGTAGCACCAGTCAAGAAAATTAGTGTGTTCTGTGTAGTGGAAATGAAGTTGTTTGTTTTCAGTTAAAGAATGATGATTAGGTGTTTTTTTGGTTCAGTCATGTTGAGTGCTTTTTTCTCAGTTTTCTTCTCAGCATATGTCTCTATTAATACTGTGTTGTTCTTCTCATTCCCAAAGACTGCCTTAGCAGCACAAAGTACACATTTTTTTTCAGCCCTCGAGCTGCAGCATGGTTTGTTCCAAGAAGAGAGACAATAGTGTCCATACTGTACTGCTATATTTCCAATTGTGCTTGGCCTGAACCGGTGCCCTCCTTTCTGGTGGTGGTGTGGTGCTGGAAAATTAAGGATTTGTTGAAGCCAAAATGCCTAGTATCTCATGCCGAAGCTTATTAACAATTGATCTACTGCTGCAGCAGCTAACAGTGCATAATGTTGTACAGGTATGTGAGGCTGGGCGCTCATGCGAGGAGCGGTTGAAGGATGTGCAAGGGAGGGAGGGTGGAAGCGCATGCAGAAAACACGACAACGGCAAGGTGCTGGAAGGAGCCTGATGTTGATGTTGTTGCTGAGACAAGTTTTGGCAACGAAATTGCTTCACAGATGATGATATGTTCCGCACGATGGGTGAAGGATAGTGCCTTGGCGTCCAAATCTCCTGCTTGCACGCTCGCCGTCAAGCTGCCATGTAGTCCCTCCGTTCCAAATTACTCCTCGTGGTTTTAGTTCAAAAATAATTTTTGAAGTAAAATCACGACGAGTAATTTGGAACGGAGTGAGTAGACATATCGGGCGCTAGTATATCATGTGTATGTATAGCAGCGGTTTTTTGACAATGCAGAAGCGTAGTATATCAATCAAACGAAGAATGCATACTGTGGAGGGCAACAAAAAGCAGAGAAGATGCAAGAAACGTGAGGTACTTGTAGATGGCAAAGCTGTATATGTAGGGATGACAAGCAAACGAGTACTAGTACTGACAATTCAAAATTCACCTAGAGCATGTACAGTTTCGACTAGACTAGCAATAGTCGCAAGCGAAGAATGAATATGAATACGAGTGGTTTGGCTAGCTAAACACTACTATATGACCTGGAGAGTCTATGTATGCATTTGATTTGAGGTCGCCATGATTGTCTCAAGAGTTCACAGGAGCGCAGCTCAGGCCATTGTGGCCTCCAGGTTGAAAACGAAGAGCAGCCCCGCCCTAAAAAAGGAGCGCTGGAGGCGGGCGACGAGCCCCGGAAAATCGAACTCTAGGATGAGTACCATGAACCGCTCCAGGAACCGGGACGCGTGCTGGGAGCTATTCCTGCATACTGTGAGAACCCCTGTGACGTCGTGCTCGAAGACGGTGGGCTGCTGGGTCGGGTCTCGCCTGTCGATGAACCCTCTGGTTTGGGCCAGAAGTGTGTTCAAGCAGTAGCTGTTACTATCCCAGTCGTCCATCTCAGGGTGCATACCAAGGATCAACTGGAAGGTCCGTGGGTCTCTGAAGCGCAGCTGCTCCAGGATGCCTCTCGCCTCCATAAGCCACTGGAACGCTTGCGCAGGATCCATCAGGGCTACATTGTAGCGGATCAGGTACTCGTGCCCCGTAACTCCATCCTGGATCAGGTCTAGCCATGCCTCGATGGCAGGTGGCACCCACTCCCGCAACGAGAACATCTCCTCTACACAAGTGACAAGCTGGTCGTAGTCAATGTATCCGTTGACCTGAGTGAAACGGGTGAAGTGCACCCCTGTTGGCCTGACGCTGAGGGTCTGCGATGTATAGACAGGGATATTGGCTGGAGTAAAGTGGCCACCAAGGCTAAGCCCTGCCTGGTGCATACTCCAGATACACTGGTACAAGCGACGCAAGACAAGCAGTGCATGGTTCCGTCCTCTGACCTCATCAGTCGGTGGCTGACTCCCCGGAACGTGGATGACCTCTGTCAAGATGGTGGTCTGGGCGTAGGCTAGAATGTTCATATTGGGCACTTGACTGTGGATGCAATGGAGCAACTCATGCAGACATGGAAAATCGCCGAGCTGAAAAACGAAAAAGGAAAGACGGTATTTAGTACATCACGATCACAGTAAGTAGTACGGATAAGCATATTGCATTGCATTGAACCCATCTAAACATTCTTCTGCATTGCATGTAACCCATCTAAACAAGGTAGACTCTGTATCTGAATCTGAATAATAAACACACAGCATTAGCACGACAGCGAGGTCGTTTCATTCAGTCCTGAACGTGATCGTGGCTGGCGACTCCAAACTCTTGCTTATCTATACGATCTACCGCGGCGCACTCGATGGGCAGCAAGCAATCGCCGCTGGTGCTCGCGCATGCCGCTCACCTCGCCACGGCACCTCACCAGCGGCGAGGTGGTCGCGCACTGGACAAGCCCACGGGGCGACCGGAGCACGCAGGGCGCGCGCGGGACACACCCACGGTACAACCAGGGAGCGCAGGGCGAGGCGCGCGACGTGCGCAAGCACCAGCCGCAAGGTGGGCGCGGACTGGACACGCCCGCGGCACAAACCGAGCAAGCAGGGTGCGCGCGGGGCCGACAACGGCACAGACAGAGCAGGCCCACCTCGCCGGCGGCGCTCGCGCAACGTCGCTCATCTCGCCACAGCACCTCGCCGCCGGTGATTGGACGGCCCGAGAGGACCGGCCAATCACCGGAGGGGAGGTGCTGGGGCGAGGTGCGCCACGTGCGCAAGAACCGGCGGCGACGTGGGCCACGTGCGCAAGAATCGGCGGCGAGGGGAGTCCAAGTTGCTGCAGCTCGACTCACCTGGATGTCCAGGTCGGCGGTGACTCCGTACGCGGCCTCCGGATCTTGGGCGGCCATCGGGAAGGAGGCGCGTCGAAATCCAAGAACTTGTCGGCGCGTCGAAGCAGGGCCTGCCTCCAAGAAAGGCGGCGGCGCGTCGAAGCAGGGCTTCCAAGAAAGCGGCGGCGCGTCGAAGCAGGGCCGCCAAGAACACGTCGGCGGGGCGGGGGCGGAGAAGGCGCCCGCCAAGAACACGTCGGCGGGGCGGAGAAGGCGCCCGCCAAGAAACCGGCGCGGCCGCCCTCCAAGAACCGAGGTGGCGGAGATGCCGTCCGCCGCGGAGCCTGCGGGGCGGCGGAGATTCTTCGGAGCGGGCGGCTGGATGGCGGGCGGCTGGATGGCGGGCGGCTCGCAGGGGCTCAGGGCGCGTGAGCGGGGAACGGGTGGAGTCGGCGGCAAGGAACGAACGGGGGATGTGATGGGTTTCGAAGCGGGGGGGTTTATATACGCTTGGTTTCGGCGCTTCGCCCAACGGCTAGGGTGGCCTGGTGTTGGCTTCCTGCTGCTAATTACATCTTCGGTACACTTTGATACACAAATTGATTGCTCTCCAGTGCAAATTGACTCTGCATCAGCCACGCGGGATGCCACGTCAGCTCGAGGCACTTGGCCGTTACCCGAACATTTGCGAAAAAAACCTCCGATGCATGCTGAAATTACTTCACACGGTCCCTGGCGTTGGA